AAAACAGTCACTTGGTTTAAGCGCTAGATGGCGCCAGTACATAAAGTAATATTTTACTCACAACAGAAGAAGTGACGTTAACCAATCAGATCTACCGACTGCAAATCAATAAGGAAGGCGCCAATTTTATCCGTTGGCTGGAGTTGACGTTTTCAGTTCTTTGCTTTCTCTTTATTTTTCCAATTTATTTGCGACAATGTCTGAAAACACTTTTCCTGTATACACAGCGGATGCGATAGTGAACTTTTATCGAACTGAAGTTCTCACTGGTCAAGAAGCAAAACACTTTACAAAGAGCGACTTGACTCCTCATCCAAAGGTAAGGTCCGCTTGGTGTTACAGAGTCTACCTACAAAATGTTCCGCGGTTTAGAAAAAAAGGTAAAGCCCGGAAAGGCAAATTACATAATGAGCTGGAAAGGCTCATTGTCATTTGATTTTAGAGTTGGTATTACGGGCCAAATTAATATGTATGGGGGGATTAGCCCTCTTTACAGTTTCACGCAGTTAATTAATTTGTCGTGGATAAATGCAAATAAAAAGGGAGAAACACAGCAGAGGATAATTTTGAAGAAGCTCCTTGGAAAAGTCTTAAAAGGTCTTTAGTTTGATTTCACAATTGACACGTTGACGTGATGCAGAGACATGACAGTTTGTTTTCTTACACATCTCTTAAGGCTGTGCTTATGGTAGCATAATATACTATATTTAAATGTAAAAGTGGAGCCGAGTTAACTGCATTATGCCGTTTTGTGTAACATACATAAATCATTATTAGAAAATGTTAATATTGTAATGTTAAAGACGAGTGTTAAAGTTTCCTCACTAAGTTCTTGGGGGGAGGGCGATCCTGATAACTCACTGTGCATTAAAAGTCTTGTTCAGAAAAAAATACTCTTTTTCTTTGTCCATAGAAACGAAGGTGGATAGAGCTGAGGTCATTATGATGAGTGAACTGCCCACAATTTCAATGTTCAGCAAACAGGCGACCTAAATACAGTAAAATATATAACAGCCAAAAGAAGACAACTGGGTTTTGAATTGTTTATTTTCTACACGAATCATCTGGAAACAGTTGCTGATTTAACCGATTTTGCAATTGATCATTTAAACCGATTCTAGTAAAGAATCTGGTGTTCATTATTGTTTTATTAAGGTGTGGTCTCATATTCAAGATCATCTCCTGCTGAACATCTGAACTGATTTAAGTGGTGCCAGCTCATTTGAGATCTTACAGTGAAAGTCTTTTCATGTCCTCTTGTACTTGGTCCAGTGTGGTGGGATTTTGTGTGGGTACTGGCACAAAAAATTACAATGCTTTTACTGAATTGAAAACGCCACATTTCTCATTATTTCCACGTAACCTCTCACTTTGTAGAATCCTGTACTGATTCATCTTAATCTTGGACGTACAGATTGTTGATATAACCCCATACATACGAGCTGGAGAGAAGGGAAGAAAGACAGTCTTTCTTCTGGTCTTACTCCTTACCTGATGTACGGTTTTGGAAACGGGCTGCTTCAGCCGAAAACAGCTCACACCTTTTTGGTCACACCTTGGATACTGTTCCATTCTTATCTGCTCACACTAAACATGGCCAGGATTTGACATTGAGGTATGTGAACAACTAATCCCTGTGAGCCAAAAGCTCACTGAGAGTAGACAGCACTAATATGGTCATCTCAGTTACTCAGGCCTGTTTATGAGGGACAGCCAATCAAAAGAAGATTGGCTTAAAGTAAGGGAAGTTAAAATAGCTTGTTTCAGATAGAAGATAAATTGAGAGACTTCAGCAAGGTCCAGTATAGGATAAATAAGCATTATTTTGCATTTTGAATCATTCAAAGAATTGAGAAAAAATTTGAGCGCAATCGACCCCTCTAACCAAATTTGTAAAATAGTAAACTATTCTGGTCACAGTCACATTTACAAAGAAGTCAAATAATGAAAATACTCTTTATTCAGAGCCCTGACCACAGGTCATTACTTCTGCACAGAACAAACTTTGCCCTTTGTTTCTTAAACTGAAATCATGTCTCAAAGAGAGACAAGATTTCAGGGGTAGCAGGAGGACCTCTTCTTGCACTCTTGGACACTGAAGAGTGAATGTAAGCCTCGGTCTGTTTGTCTTTTAGTACCCTGAGATTCAGGTGGAAACATAGTGTCGAATAAGATAAAGGATGAGAAAAAGATCATTAACAGAGCACTTTCCTCTCTTACAGCCAGAAGCAGTTCAGACCTTATACATGAGAGTGCTGCATCTCCTGTATCGTTTCAGGCCTGAGTGTCACTCCATGGTGAGTGTTAAATATCAAATTCTGCTCTAAAATGCTCAGACAGTGAATGTTCCTTCTCTTAGTTGGCTTGATGATGATGATGATGTCTTTTCTGCAGATCTGTGACCTTTTTGCAAGCTTGTATTTTAGTTCACAGTGAAGGAACGTGTTCAAATATGACACACAGCATCCAAGCCTTCATGTCTGCAGTGCCTGTAGTTGAATTGATATGTGTGATCTGTCTTCATAGCAGTGAAAATGCTATCACTGACAGAAACATTATAGAACCTTTTGAGTGTATGAATGTCAATTTCTGATGTGAGAGCAAATGCAACACGTTCAACTAGCAGCTGATGTTTCTTTTGTCTGTGGCCTGGATTTGTAATTTGTTTTCCACAGGTTCCGCTTCTGGAGAACATTCAGTATCCAGCCTATCACGAAGGGGCAACTGCTATCATGAGTGTCTACACACGCATGTGAGTTTACCCATTTTCTGTCTGGGATATCAGGCCGCTTGGTTATAGCAGAAATTCCAATCACGATGACTGTGATGAGTGACAGTAACCTTGATTATTCAACACAGTTATTGAGACTGATGACACAGTGTGATCCTGTAGGGAGTTAGGCCCTGGCTAGGCTATGGTATATCATATGACTTCCTCCTATTACATTATTATCAGTTCACTGGGGCCAAATATCAATATTTCTATTACAAGTCCAACTCAGTAGAAGGTGGGAAGCTGTATAAAATGTAGATAAAAACAGAATGAATGAATCTGCAAATCTCATAAACCCATATTTTGTTCACATGGAACTTTTTTTGGGAACTTAACTGATGCATAACTATAATTGAATAATAATAAATGCACACTAACATTATAGTGAAGTAAAATGCAGAAATAAATGATCGTGCTGCAGCCTGCACCCTGAAATAAAGCAGAGAGGTTCAAACTGTAGATATTTCTGCATGTATGAGGGAACAAAGTGTAGCGTACACTGCTGGTTTTGTCTAATCTTAGTGTACAACTGTCAAATGTTTTTTTTGTGTTTATCGTTTCTTTCTAGGCGGCAGTTTCTGCCTATGTGTTTGGTGTTGGATTTTTCACTCAATGATCTGCTGGCTCCAAGTAAGTCTCACTGATTTCATTCAATAGTTTGTGGTTTGTATCTTGCATAAAATACCCCTCATACATTCAAATGTCTTTTTGTTTTTTATCAGCAGTCTAGATCTCCCAAATATTCAAGTTTAGAGATTGTGTTTAATGTACAATTT